GGTTATTAGGGTGCCCACAACCTATAGTAGAAGATTGAACAGCTTACCTTTCCATCTTTTTTAAATAGATTATATATGATAAAACGGAATAAAAAAATATATCTGATAAACACTACTTTAATCATATAAATTATATCAGATAGTTTAAATGACTTATTGTTTTTTGAAAACGGTTTTAGCTGTCGATGCCCTTGCGGGTACCAAAGTTGTTGTATTGTGTCATAACAAAATATTCAATTGAAAAGACAAATACAAAGAAAAAAAACTGGGGAAAAAGCGCGCTAACGAAAAGTGATTTAGTAAAGGTTTACACATGCATGAATTATCAATAGCTTTAAAATTATGCCCATTTCCCCCTCTCCTTTGCCAAAGTTTCATTACGGCCACTAACCTATTTCCGCTCAACAAAAGAAATAAAAAATCAATGAATAATTAGTAGTCCCTAATAGCACTCATACTGCTGGGAGCCCGTCTCTGCTCTACTGGTATACCCGCATGTCGACTATATTTGCCCCTAATTATAAAAACTCTTTATGATATACGTGAAAAAAATCCTTTCTCGATGTCCCAACATAAATACTGCCCACATACATCAGAGCATTATCTAAAGAAGAAGTGTTACCTAAAAGAGCTCAAACAGGCAATGGATTTGAATACGCTACCTATCTCAAAATTTATGCTAAATCAACGTGAAATGACTGTTCTTTGAGAAAATAAATATAATATATAACTTACATTTTACTTACTTACAAAGTAAAGTATCAAATTTCAAAGAAAAAATTTACTTCGGTTTGTAATTGTAAATAGTTTTTTTTCAAATTACTTTTGTGTAAGCTGTTTTTGCTAATTAGTTACTTTTACACCTGAAAGTAATTAGTTGTTATGATGTAGTTTTATTTTGTTTAGTGTTATTTGTAAAGTAAGTATCATTATTTTTCAAAAATTTAATTAGCGTAAGTTTACTTTACTAATAACTTTTTTTACATATAATAAGTTTTTTTTTTTACATATAAAAATTACATTTCAATGTGAACTTTTTTACATAATTATAACCAAAATTACTTTTTAAAGTAAACTACTTTACACAACCTAATTAATTAAAAGTAGGGGAGAGGGGGACACGTTGATGCACTTTTTACATTTTCTGACATTAAAAGCTAAATAATATATTTAGAGTGAAAATAATAACTTGCATATGTTCTACTAAGTATCCTGAATACTTTAGTACCACAATTTTATTGATTAGAACATAATTAAAATAAATACAGCACAAAAAGTTAGGTAAAGGTTTGTGTATCAAACTGCCCCATGCTGGGGCAAGTTGATACATACCATGGGACAAGCTGATACATTTAATAAGACTTGAAAATGAAGCTTTAAAAAACTAATTAAGTAGTCAAACACAAAAGATTAGGTAAACAAAAACAAAAGATTAGGTAAACATGTAAACAAACACAAAAGATTTAGTAAACAAACACGCAAGACAAAAAACATATTTTTTATTAGGCCAATTTACCTTTTACTATATCTGCGAGAAAAAAAAAACATTAGCCTACACGAAACAATTTAATTGCATTAATGCAAATACATAAACAAAAACATTTTCAGCCATATTCGAAAGCTGTACCAAAGGGGTAAAATAATACAGTGTATCAGTTCCCCAAGTGGTCTGTATCAACGTGTTCCTTTAGACCGCGTTGCATTAAATTCGAGTTAAATTTTAACAGAAGCAACGAACAAACAAATTACATATATAAAAGAATTTAGTAATGTTTTCTTGAACATATCGAAAGGTTGATGAGCTAAATGTACTTACCTTTTTTGTAAAATCTCTTACGAAACACGTTGTCAGTTTTTTTGAAAAGTTGCTCGATTTACAAAATGCTTCCCAGCTTGATCAACTTTGAAATGACTGAAAATCTTATTACATTTGACGTTAGCAAACTAAAAAGCTATTTCCCGTACCAAATCTTATTCGCACAATTAGTTTAACAACTGCTTCATTTGCTTTGTATCAATTTTCCCCGTATTAACTTGCCCCCACCCAGTCCCCTAAGTTACATTTACAGGTAAAAGTAAGAATGCAAATAACTTTTACTTGTAAAAATTATTTGCATTATTGCAACTACTCTTTCAAGTAACAGTTACTCATTTAAAAAGTTTAACTTAAGTAATTAAGTTTTACATGTTATATAATTTATGCAAAAAAACAAACAAAAACGAATTACTTTTAAATAGAAGCAGTTATATATTTTTATATGAGTTATGTAAAGTAATTTACGCTTAAAAGTAATTTGCTTTTTTACATCAAAATAAGTAAACGTGCCATCCCAATTGAATATAACATTTTCAGTTGTTTATTATTTGCATTTATGAATGCTATAATTAAATGCTGCATATTTAGTAATATACAATATAACAAACTGAAAGTATATTTTTACAATAATTTTTATACATTATTTACTGAACATTACATCTACAATGTGAAACTCAGAAATTCAGAACGTGTACATCAAAAATAAAACTCTTTATTGGTTTATTAAACCATAAGAATTAATTTACTAACATGTCTTTTATACAGTAGCGTAGTGAAGGGCCCGCAGGGCCCGCAGTCTCGGGATATTTGGGGCACAACCCAACTCTTCTAAACTTTTCTTTTAAAAGTTGTCATTCTTAATAATAACATGAATGTATATAAATACAGCAACATTAGTAATTTTTTCTATTATCAAATAGAACAACAAACTCTTCAGACTATTTTTTTAGCATTGATAATAATCTTCACTAATACTTCAAATGGTGAGCTTTTTTATACATTTATATCTAAAAAATCAAAACAACTGTATTAACTCATAAGTTTAGTTAAGTGGTAAGTAGGATGTCGCAAGGTTTTAAAGCAAAGTACAATAGTGAAGCTATTGTATAAAAACATTAACTCACTTTAAAAAAAGATTGCTAAAAAGGATATTGAGGTGGCAGTGTAGCTGTCTTCATTACTTATGTATTTATCTCTCATGAAGTTAATTAGTTCTATAAAACTTATCTTAGACAAGTTTTGATATCTGTAAAAATTAAAAATAAATACATAATTATTTAGGTTATACATAGACCAAATAATGCTAATTTAATATAACATATTGCTAAATCATTCAAATTAGCTCATAGAAAACCCTATGATGGCTGCTTCATTGTCGGTTAATTTAACATATCATATCTCCAACGTGCAGGTACCCCATCGTTGCTCAAACCTTATGTTGGACTTGTTATATACCTTCAGCAGTAATTTTATTTTAAAATTGTCTCCTCATTATAAATTATGTAATAATACTAAGGTTTTAGCTTCGAAACCGTTTCACGAAAGTGAACATCAATTGTTTTGTTACAACAAAGATGATTACGATTCATAATCAAACTTTATTGCATCAATCAACTGGAATATTTTATTTCTGAATAAAACCGCGGAACCATTGTTTAATTTATAAAAGTTGTATTTGAATTAAACAATTGTTTAATTTCTAACAATTAGATTCTAACAATCGTACTGTTAGCGAATATATTATCCCAAAGAATAATAAGGCATAGAAAAAGAATCTTAGGGTTACTCCACATATGAAAAAAATAGTCCAAGCAAAAATATCTGATTGGTAAACCATCTGCTCAACTATATGGAAAAATAATAAACTTAAATAAACTGCTATCTAGTATCACTTTTTAACGATATTTTCTAACGTTAGAAAGTGATACTAACCTAAATGAACTTATTATAACAGCTTTAGTTTTTTTTCAAATTTCAGGCATTATTAACTTACCAATTTAAACCCTGATAAATTTTTTTGCATTTACAAAAATTGTTCGTAAATTCTGTAATTCTGCCATACTATTCGCTGTCTAGGAATTGAAAAGTTTTAGCACAGCCTATACAAAAATGGGAGATAAATTACTTGCTGAAAACTATCGATCAAATTTGCAAACCAACTCTGTTGCCTGCAAAATAGTCAAATTACTTGTTAAGAACAAAATCTTTAACCATATTAATGGTAATAAAATACCCTCTGCAAATCAAAATGGCTTTCTTCACCAAAAATTATGCGTGACTAATCTAAGAGAGACTTTGATATTTTTTCATCTAGTATTTCAACAAATTATTGATGTAATCTCGATTTCACCTAAGCGTTGATTCTGAACCTCAAAACAGTTTTTTATTTAAGTTAATTTAAGATATTTCCGAAAAAATGGGAAACAAAATAAAAACGTATAATGAACCAATCCCTAAAAAGCTCTACTAAAATGCGCAGTTTAGCCACTATAAAGTCATTATTTCATGACACGTTTATTGCAGCACACATTTTTGAATAATTGTCTCAAAGCCCTTACAAACTCTTGGTATGCAAAAAGAAATTCACTTTCATTGATGAAAATATTGCTTTCAAGTTATATAAAATGCTTATTAGACCACACCATAAATATACAGCGTCTATGTAGGCTTCTTATTTAAAAACTGATAAATTCTCGGTTGAATCTATGCAACGCAAAACAACAAAGAGGACTTACTGCTTAAGACACGTTTAATACTGCAAAAGACTAAGAAGATTGAATTTTTAATCATTGACTAAGTATTTTGGTTGGGGCAATGACAAGCTTAGGGTTAAGAGAAAATGTCCACAATAACATATTATCATATAAAAATATATGTATACCAGCACTTATGTATATTTGACATTACCCATAAGCATAGCAACTGCCAAAAAATCCTTAAGCACATTAAAACAAATTTAAGGACAACAATTGCGCAAATCATTTATTCTGCACTAGACTAAATAGTTACTGAAGCAGAAATAACAGCTTAATTAAATTTAAAAGATGTTATTGACCAATATGTTGCTATAAAAACGAAAAAAAAACTTGGGCTCGAAATAAAATTTTGCGGAGAGACTTATTTTTGCCACCACGCTACTGCTTTTATACTACAAATAATAGGTTTATTTAATGAAGAAAAGTACCTCTTATGAAACCGAACCAACAAACAATAAAACATGTAGATTTTAAAATCTAAAAAAACACAAAGTTTTATGTAAAAAAAAAAATATTTTATATAGTATTATCAATATATGTATATATATATATATATATATATATATATATATATATATATATATATATATATATATATATATATATATATATATATATATATATATATATATGCTTTTATGCTAAAGTATACCATATACAGGTACATGGTTTTGAGGCTTTTTGTAACGAACCATTTGAAAACAAGGTTATCTTATTAAACTTCTCATCTTGCTGTCACATTTAGCATGCATCAAAAAAAAAAAAGAATCAGTGAGGGAAAAATTGAAAAGCATGTTCAAAGTGCTAAGACAAAGCGTTCCACAAAAGCAACAAATTATTAAAGTTTTGAGAGCTGAAATTAGAGATCTTAAATAAAAGTTGCAGACATTAATACAGTAAGATAGCGCTCGCTTTTTAAACAAGAAAGTTCAAGTTTGATACCTAACACATTCTTTAAAGTACGGTGCTTATTACTTATAAAAACATGTAGAATAAGGTCATTTATGTGCTCACAATACGTATTTAAATTTTGTCAGATATTTATTCATGCTTTTAATTTATTTCATTAATTTTTAGGTTTACTTATATAAGAGGAGTGGGATAAGCGACTTCACGGAAAACGATTAAAAATTATTTGAATGCTATCACGGTATACAGGAATTATATAGCAAGAATAGAATTATAAGAAAAAGAAAATATACATGTACTTCTCATTTTAAATCCATAAAAGGTGGGCATTGAATGCGAGTTTGTAGCTTTTACATTTTATATGACTGAAGTTTTTTTGTTAACAGTAAATAGGAGAATGTAAATCAGTAGTACATTGCTCATTTTCTCCTATTCTTTGTTTGCAATTATATTTGCGGTCGTTTTTCATTTTCATTTTTCTTTTTTGTCTATGACCTTCCAAAACTGAAAAATATTTTAATATAAATTTTTATTGTCAATGTCTATTAGGGTGTTGACTTTTTGGCAATTAAATTTAAAAGCAAAGCTTTTTTTTTGCTTTTGAATTGAATTGTTCATTTTTGATTTTCTAAAACATGCTCTTTGATTGACAGACTATTTTGTGATAAATACTATTTCTTTAGATACTATCGTTGGTTATAAAATTGTTTATGATGCAAGCAATACGAGGTTGCAATTAGCGAAATATTAAAACGTGCCAAAAAAATAACGGGTTGTCCCACGTGCTGAATCCCTAACTATGTGTATATTAATTTAAGCACATTGGGAAAAAAAAAGACATATCGAGACTTATATCTTATATCGAGCTACATTTTTTATAGTTGTTATATATGGAGTCGGTATGAGAATGAGATTAATTAAATTAAACATTGAATAAACGAACAAAATTTAGACGTCCGTAGGACATGCAATAGCGCCTATTGTGGACCTCTTAAGATACTGTTTTGGACCTCCTTGAACAAATTTTAGAAGTCTGAATTGGACAAACGATAGTTGTTTCATCTGGTACGTCTAATGGATGTCCATATTGTACGTCTTGAGGCACCATTTTGAATAAATTGGACGTACTATTTACGTCCGTCTGCCCATTGGGCTATGCAGACATCAGCATGAACAGTAAAAAATAAAAGTTTGCACTAACTCTGAAAGTTACTTATGTTAAACAAGAAAATTTCTAAACTAGCTTGTATAACTAAATTTTTTTTACTTTGAAATATTTTCAAAATTTAGGTTGCAACTGTACATGCTTTAGTGATATTAAAAATACTAACAGTTTTTTATACATTTTATAAAATCACAGTGTCAAATTTATAGCCCTGTAATTAAATGAGAATCTTTTCTATATTAATGTTTTAACAGCCGCAGTTGAGCAAATTGATAAAAGGGCTTTAAACTTCACATAATCTATTGAAAATGTTGTATTTAAAAGTTGTGCGTTATTTTGCGGTGTGTCAAAATGGGCATAGTTTTTAGGATACAGTACACAAATATATAAGTAAAATCGTTCTTATAATCTTGTGGACATAAAATTTCTTGCGCATTGTTTTTTCTAATGCTTCTTGACTACAGAAGCAGTTAATGCTAAAAGAGACAACCTTGTAGTGTATTCTACTCAATGGTATTCTGCAGAAAACTTCTTAAGTTTTATCTTCTGCAGAAGTTATTCTTTTAGATCATCAAAGGTTTGCTTTAGTGTTAATTTAATTTGATTAACTGCTTTTATTTTGTTTATATTATGTCGTATTTTTATTACAATAACATATATACCATAAAATTATCCCCTAATTAGCTTATAACTTTTCCATTAACATTGTAATACACACGCCATACACTGAAAGAATAACGTTTGATATAAGACTACAACAAAGTTAGGAAGTCTTATTTTATCCTCAAGAAACATCGGTAAAAATGACATGAGATGTTCAGCAAATGGTCAAAGGTACCGTCACTTTATTATTGCTAGTAATGAATATACTACTTAAATGTAGAGTTAAACATATTGAACAAAGGTCTAAAATAACTCAACCTCAAATGCGTGATTAACGAAAAATTTGCATAAATGGAATAAAACAATTTTGTATTTAGCTAGCTTAAAGCTTTTAAAATCTAGGCAGTTAAAAAATGTCTCTTGCCTGTGAATACGTCGTAGCAATAATCTAAAAGCAGTTTTTTAAAAATATTCATTTTCTAGTTTCAGACTATAGTAATTAAAAATAATCATAAAGAAAAAACAAAGTCTTTTACGGACTATTTGTTAAACATTATTACTTATACGAAAGATACCTGAATAAATCCCAAACCTAATCTGTTGCTAAATTTAAAGAAGATCTCTTATTAGATCATTTAGTGTTATGTTTGTGCGCAAACTTTCACCTTAATTGTATCAATTTAATAGTTTCGTTTTACACAAAACTATAAAATCTATAGAAACAATTATATTATATGTAATAATAAAAATAACTATCTAATAATAGACAAAGTTTAATTTTTCTTTAAAATATTTTGGATTAATCTTTTATCAAACAGATTAACTTTTACTCATTTTTATTAAGGTCTAAAGTTTAAACTGTATCTAATTTAGATAACATATTATGTATTCTAGTCAACTCGTCAAAAGTTTTAGTTCCAACAAAAATTAAAGAAATATCTATAAAAATAGATAAAAAATAATAAAAAAATTATAAGTTATCACCTGTTTCATATCTATTGTCTAAATACCATAAAAATGTGATAATAAAATAATATATATACAATCATTTTTTCTGTTCATTACGCTATTTAAAAAGTATGATCAAAATTTTTCAGTATCAATATTTTAGTTTTAAAGAATACTAGGTAATAATAGTATTGTAGTTTGAGACAACACTAGACAGTAATATTAATATTTTAGTTTAAAATAACACTGGATAATAATATAAATAATTTTAGTGAGCATATATATACTGTTGCTAGATAACCATTATATAACTTATGCGATTGATTACATAATCTAGAGAAAAACAAATTAATTTTTAAATAACTCGGCATTACACATTTAAAGTAGATCTATTTTGAAAATTTTATTATAAATACGGCGATTTTATTACAAATAATTATTTTATTACAAATACGTATTTTTTATTACAAATACGACATTATATAAATATTTTCAGATTCAAAATTAATTTGAGATTATAACTAATAAAAGTTATTTTATTAGTTATAATCTCAAATTAACGCTTTCTATCATAGCGTTGCCTGTCCTACAAATAATTGAGATCTTAAAAACGCGCTGCATTTTTTCTTGGCTGGACGCAAGGTGAAGTGGTAATAAACAAAGGTGTTGTGGACAGGTTGAGCAAAGTGAGTGTATTAATAATAATATTGTGCAAACTTCTTAAAAGTGAACATATTAATGAGCATGCAACACATTAGAAAATAAAGTTTTTACGTAACATATTAAAATTTAAACGATGATTGATTGTCATGACAATTTTAAAACATTTAGCCTAGACTTCTTGGAGCGTTATAAAAATTCTACTTACGCAAGCTCTTTTAGAAATGTAGTTGCTAATATGCAGCAATGTTGTTCATCATCATCATGAATTAATTTGAATCCTTCGCAATACATAGAAGAACTACATCAAAATAAAAAATGTTTACCAAGTTCTTCTGATAACTGCTCAAGTAAAAACAATAAAAAAAACTATATACCGTAAAATTGTCTAAGTTCGTTTACTTAAGCTCTGAACATTTATTTATCACGCATAAATAAAAAATTCCCAATTTTTTTTTCTGAAACATACAAAAAATTATATTGATAGTTGATATTGTAAAGACAAAAAAATGAAAAACAAAGTCTAAAACTCAATATTTAATTTAAAAAGAAAACATCTACTTTGACCGAACTTTTAATACCATCTCATAAGTTCGGCCGCTGCACAGTGGGCCAGTAGGCCCACTGTGCAGCGGCCGAACTTATGGCCGGTGCAGCGGTGCAGCGGCCGGTGCAGGTGCAGCGGTGCAGCGGTGCAGCGGCCGAACTTATGGCCGGTGCAGCGGCCGAAAATCTTTAAGAAATTGGTTTTTTGCCGCACTATAACTAATAATTACCATAATTTGCCATGTGCTGTCTTATATATATTTGAGCTATGTGATGCTTCAATCAAGTTTTAATAGACTGCTCGTCCCCTTAAATCCCCGTTCAGATTTTATATATATTTTAACTTGGTTGCTATGGTACTAAGTTTTGCATAGCAACATTTTTACATTAACGTTGTTTTAACAGTATTTTATCTGCGCTAAGTACACAATATTGAGATTATATGTTAAAATGAGATTCAAAATTCTTATGGGTTTAATTTTTTTTGGTTGCTAAGGCTACATTAATTTGCATAGCATATAAACAACATATTTTCAGTAGTTGTCAGTAACTTAAATTCTAACACTAGCAGTAGTTTAATTACTCTTAATTTTAATTACTAACACTTGTAGTAACTTACAAGAATTAGTATTCCAGGCAGCATATATATTATAACATTAAACTTTTAAACAAAAAATATTTGTTATAAGAATTATTTAGATATGGTTTTATTAAACTTAGACATTCATAATTTTCTCGAAAAAACAATCTTAGTATTTCAAAACAAAATATTACTGAAGGTATATTGAAATCTATTCAGCCAAAATTTGCTGAATTTAAAGACGTTGATTTTAGACATGCTGTTCAGCTATTTTTTTACTTGTATAAAAAAAGTGGAAATCTGCAAACTGTACTGGTAAAAATTTTGAAAAGAAGTTTGTAAATTTGAAAAAACTAACTCATACCAATGCTGTTTAGTGTGTGGTGTCTCTCCAAAAAATATGAATAGTCTTGATATCCTAAGTCTGGATTATTCTAACATAGAGTTCAAATATGGTCTTTCGATTCTTCATGCTTGTATTCAATTTTTGGAGATGGTTTTGCACATTGCATATAAAAAACAAACAAAAAAGTGGCAAGCAAGATCTAACGAATACAAAGAAAAGGCATCTCTAGCTTAAACAAAAGATTCAGACTGATTTTATGAACAAAATGAGACTTGTTGTTGATTTCCCTAAAAGTGGTGGTTCTGGAACAAGTATGATGAAAATATCTCAAGGCGTGATTTTACAGCATATGAAAAAACAGCTGAAATTATGGGTATTGATCAAAACCAGATTTTACATTATCTTGATAACAGTCTCTTCAGGATATGAAATAGATAGCTTAAAATTCAAAGGTTATTGTTTTGACACTGTTAGACTATATGTGTCCTTTTATCCATGGTATTACATGGCTCAATCAGTTCACAAAGTATTGATACATGGACATGACATAAATAAAAACCTTATGTCAGAGGAAGCTCTAGAAGCTAGAAATCCAGATTTCAAACCTTATCGCAAAAATTTCAGCCAAAAAGCATCCAGAAAAGCAACAAATACTGATCTTATCAATAGACTTCTAGTTTCCAGTGATCCTGTTATTTCATCAACCTAAAAAATTAATAGTTATTCAATATAGGTGGGTCGAAAATCTGATAGAATATTCAAATATCAATTTTTATCTTTGTAATTAAGAAAAGTATCTGGTAACTAAGCAATATAAGTATACATAGCAACTAAATTAAAAAAATTATCACTTTTATAATAAGTATGATGTCATATTTGTACAAATTTATGCCAAATTTATGGAATATAGCACTCATAAAATACCTGCAGATAACAAAAACAGGTTGTTGCTAAGCAAAATGAAGATATCCATAGCAACAAAATAAAAAATATTACCTTTATAAAAAGCGCAGACATCATATTGGTACTCATGCTAATTTTAGTGAATATAGCTCTGGTATTAAATTAATTGTGAACTTTGTCCAGTAAAAGTGAATTCTGGCCCACTGTGCGCTGTATAAATACTAATAACGTATCACAAATAATAGAAACTAATTTTTAAACGTTGTTTTTTTGTAAAACTATGATATAAAATCAGGTAATATCTGTAACTAAAGAAGGCGTTGCCCCGGCTCACAAGAAAAGTATTTTGGAGCACCGAAGAAAACAAGAAAACAAGGAACACATAAAAAGAGGCCTTTTTAAATATAAGCAGTAGTTTTTTTTAGTAGTATAATTTTTATTGCAATTAGTTTATTATTACTATTTTAATACTTTGACCATTACCACATTTGCAACGCCACTGGTTAATAAGATTAAATAAATTTTTCAATTAATTTAAAAAGGTTTTTTCAAATAACAAAAAAACACTACTTGGCTTTAAATGAGCTTTGTATGTTTATTGGCAGTTCTTGCACGTATTGTTAAACATAGTAGAACAGCAAGATCCATACAACCTATTGTCACAGGATTTGCAACGGTCTATAATTGTTGTTGAGGTGTATTTTTATTTCTAAAAAAAAAATGTCAAAAGCTTGACATTTTTCAGAACCCAAACAACCGTCTGTTAGTTTTGAAATTATAAACACATTTTTTATTCAAATAAAATACCATGATGTGTATCCATTACGAAAATGTCAAAAATTACTGCTAAATTTACAGGTAAGAGTTACCGGTAAATTTTACATTTGGAACACTTATCATTTCACAATATTACTGCTAATTATCTTTTTTGTTGTTTATTATTGAATGACCGAAGTTAGAGTATTTCAATATTTCTATAAAAAAAGTAATAAATTTTGAAAAACTAACAATTTTTTTGTAAATGTAACTTATTTGGTGATTCTTACTAATTCTTACCCAGCAAACATGTTAGCGTTGAATTAACGTTGAAAACCGGTCGCAAAAGGTGTTGCGGAAACGTTGACAAAGTAATCAATTTTGCAAAGATATGTCACGTTTTAAAGAGACGTTGATTAAACGTTGTAGCGTAACGTTGAAAAATCGTTACTAAAAGACGTTACAAAAATGTCTCAACTAAACGTTGAAAAAGCGTTACTTAAAAAGCGTTG